CTCCGCGTCCACGGCGGCTACCCCCTCGGGGCCGCCCCGTACGCGAAAGGCGGGGGGTACGGCGGCAGCGTCGAGCGCGAGATCGTGCGGGAGGTCAAGGAGCGCTGCTGCCGGGTCGCCGAGGCGGCGGTGGGGGGAGGGGAAGAGGGGGGGGACGCCCTCGCCGGGCTTCCCTGGCCGCAGGAGGCGGAGGACGGCGAGGCCGAGACGCAGTCCTTCCTGCTGCCGGACGGGGGGGAGGTCCGGGTCGGCGTCGAGGCCGTCCTCGCCGCGGAGGGGCTTTTTAACCCGGCCTTGTTCGGCTGCAGGGAGGCCCGCGGGGTGGTGGAGATGGCGCTGTCGACGGTCGCCATGACGGAGGTCGATGTCCGCGCGGGGCTGCTCGAGAATGTGGTTTTGACGGGCGGGTCGAGCCTTTTCGGGGGGTTCGCGCGGCGGTTTTTGTCGGACACGCTGCGGGCGGTCCCGCGCGGGGGGAAAATTCGTGTGGTGGCCCCCGCCGAGAGAGGCTACGCGGCGTGGTTGGGCGCGTCCTTTCTCTCACAGCTCTCAACCTTCACTTCAATGCTCACAACGCGCGAGGAGTACTTCGAGCACGGCGAGGCGATCCTCCAGTCGAGATTATTTGCCTAATCGCAAGCAAAAGGTGGATAATGGAGCAGGGGAATAACCTTCAGCTATCAATATAAATCATGTGCCACCATTAGTCCCCTTTCTCTTCGTTCTAATGGCAAACGCGCGTGAAAAGTCAAAGTTGAGGTGGTCGTGCAGTATATCTTAGACATGGTTCCTAATTCGCTCTTCGGCTATTAAAGTCGAAAATACATCCTTGCAAGGATCTGCCTGCATTTTTTATCCTTTTTTTTTTGGAAAGATATGGGGCCGAAAGAGAAGTGGGGACCCAGCTTACATAAATTGCACACATTGATTGATCTTATATTGCCACAGTAAGAACTCTGATGGTAGATGAAGGGCAAGGAAAAATTGATTTTAGTAAAGGGAAGGGTTTCACTAAGCAATGGAAAAAGGATAATTGAACTGATCACTTGCTCTTTTATCCTACTTTTTTATGTATTAATCTGTGAAAGGGAGTCAGATCAATTCTGCGCTAGTTTTCCTTCTTTTGATAAATAGGTAGTGGGTTCAGCGAAGAGTGAAATGCGTAATGCATGATTAAGCTGCCCTCATCTACAAGCTATTTATTTATATTTATCTGAGAACATCAAGGTAGTGTTCAATGCGTCTACAAGGCTATTATGCAGTCTTCGTAGATGATCTTTCTTGTATTCTTCCATGGATACTAGGGAGGAACAAAATTATTGACACTTGGTCCCTCTTCTTTTTTTGTTGATTAAAAAATCCATTTTGCGTTGTATTTTTACTTCATTCACATTTGTCCTATCTTTTTTTTTTGTGTGTGTGTGTATGTATCACTTTTTATTTCAAGCACAACATGCTAACAATATTGCCTTCATTAGTTTTAGCTCTACTCTAAACATTTCATTGAAGGTGCATATCAAGAGCAAGAAAGCATACCAAATATGTAAATGCAAAAAGAGACATCACCTGATTCCAGTGGCCCTGAAAAGGTCAATTTAAAATCTCATGGCAGAACAAACACTGAGGAGAGCATACTTCAAGTAGAGTTTGATAGCAACGCGGAAAAGTCCCGTTGTCCAGAATGCGCAAAAAAGACTAAAAATAGAGCCGTTTTAGTAGAAAATTATTGCCTTTGTAGTGGTATGGCCCAACTTTCTAGCAGGAGCCCCCCAACTACTTCTTTGAGCTCGGTAAACGCTGCGAATGTTTCGACCTCTTCTGCAATAACTGATCCCAATGAAACATATGGGCTGCTGATTTCTGCAGAAGAGTCTGAGACTCAGACAAATTTAATTGAAAATAAAGAAAGCAAATCGTTGACGATGAGTCCTGTGAAAGAAAGATCGATTTCCATCACCAACAGAGATGCGGTGATAGGTACCGTAACATGTGGAAACGAATTGAATGAAGATAAAATCCCTATGCATAGCACTACTGAAGACGAAAAGGGAAATATCGAATTACTTCAATGTAAACCCCAGCTGCTTTCCTCCTTGAGGTCTTGCGAGGTAGAATCCCAAATTTCACGAAGAGGCGATGATGACGACAACGACGATCTCAAAGAAATCAGAATAAAAAAGGATGAAAAGTGTAATCCTACAGTGGATCTTAATGGAATGCCAATATCAGATATAGACGACGAGACTCCTCAGCGGGAACTGCTTTCTGCCAGTGAAGGGAGCCCCTCACCACAGGGTTTTAGGCCCTCTTCCTTATTGCAGGATCCTAATATTATTCTCGCCGAGGGGGAATGTGGAAGCAGGCCGAATCGCATCCAATCCGCGATGAAAACTGCACCTCCGCAGGTGCGGGCGATCCCACGCGTGGGGATTAGCGTGAAAACGGTGGCGCTGAATTCGACCTCCGCAGGCGACAATCCTTCACAATCGTCCCTTACGCAAAGCATTCGCCTAGCCTTGCCGGATTTCGCCGCCCCCTCTCGGATGATAAATTCCCTGCCGCATACCGAAAGTAACCCTGAAGAGAAGAAAGAAGTGGAAAAGGTGAATCTGCGGATTCCCCTGCACGAAAGCAAAGTGAAAGCGGAAGGGACGAAGGCAAGTTTCCATCTTCCTCCTCGTTTTTCTCCGTCATCCTCGACGGTGGTCCGTTTTGCGGATCCCGAAAGCGCCGCGCGTCCTCAAGGCGCAGCACCCCAACCGCCGAGCAGCCTAACCGATGATGCGAATCCAACCCACCCTGTCGATCCTAGCCCGCCAGTAAACCCACAGCATGAACTCCATCAACGCCTTGACGAGGTTGGAAACTCCCAGGCGGTCTATCACGCGAGCCATAAAGCCTATTACTCTCCGGAGTGCGTGATGAATTCGATACCAGGAGGGATCGCCGAGCACCACACGTCCGATAACCCCTCCGCGCGTTCGCCCCTTAAAGCGATGTCGACCTCGTGCCCCCCTTTGCAGTATTTTTTAACCCAATCCGACGGCTTTGCGTGGGAGGAAAGGCTAAAAAAATTACAAACCCAAAAAACCCAACGAAAGGATCTCCTCCCGGTAGGATTAAATGCCGATTTTCTGATGGAAATCTCAGGTGTGTGCGGGCGCGCGATTGCGCTACCGAGCGACGCCGTCGCGCATCCCAATCGCGAGGGGGCCGCTCGAGAAGCGGAGTGTACGGTCGTGGAAAAGCCTTCCAGAGCGCCCGACGAAGCGGAAAATAAAAGCGAAAATCCCCCAAAAGACGAACACGACGGCGAAGAGGCGATGGCTCGGGAAAAATGGCGCTCGGGGCGGCGTCTGTCGTCGGTGATGCGCGCGCTGTCCTTCCAGCCGCGGGATTACACCCAGCAGGGGTGGTTAATCGCGGACCTTCCCGCGGATGCCGGGCCGCGGCCTGTGAAACCCACCAGCCCCTGGGGTGAGGCCAAAAAGACCGGGACTTCGAGCGCGCCAACCACGAGGCCGGCCAACGAGGCCGCACGGAAGGAAGGGGAGGCGAAGACGGGGAAGGGGTGCATGCTCCAACTCTTATACCCCACCCGCTCGGTCTCCCCGCCGCCATCCTTGTCGGTGGCCCCATCAAAAAAGGGCAGGATGGGGGGAAGCCGTCTGCTGAGCTTCGCGAATCAGGAGGCGAACGATATCGCGAACCTCAGCCAGACAAATGTTAAAAATGTGGTGGAATTGTCCTCCTTTACGGTCGAGTCGGTGGAAGGGAATGCGAATCCGGAGTGGGAAGCACGCCAGCTTGACGAGCTCGCCCTGACCAGTATGAGCGTGGACGCGATCGCTCACTGGGCATCCATCCGTTCGCAGGAGGACCGGAAGGAATGCCTAAACGAGGTGTTAAAGTCGCTTGATTAGTAAGACGGGGGCTTTTATATTGCTCTAATGCGAAGGAGAATTCTTTTTTATTTTCAAAAAATGCTCTTAGTATTGTATGATTGTGTACGTGTAAACCCATATATTTAGATAAATCGATAATTATATTGCCAATTTACCGCATTCTGAAAAGGCAACAGGCAAATACGAACAATAGGGAAAACTATTTACAGTGTAAAACTGAAAATAAAAAGAGAGGCATTATTGTGATCCAAATAATGCATCCACATACCCCTGTCGTTTTTTTTCCCTTGTCTCATTCTTGACCCCCACCCTTATCCTTATGATTCCCATTCCCTCTCCCCCCCCCTCCTGTAGTGATTATATTTATTTATTTCTGACTTAGATTCTATCTCATCGTACTTTCATCCAAAGTTCTTACCCAAACAACGAAAAAAAAGGCAATTTTTTTTAACCCATAAAGCATAATCATTTAAAAAAATATAAAAAAAGATGGATCCCAAAGCCGTTCCTCGGGATTTCTGGGCCACCGTGGAGGAGCCCCCACTGGATACGATCATGTCGCTGGACAAAATCGCCCGCGCCGCGGCGGAGCCGAAAGTGAACCTCGTCATCGGGGCCTACCGCGATAGCGAGGGCAACCCCTACCCCTTCCGCGTCGTCCGCAAGGCGGATCGGATGCTCTTGGAGATGAACCTCAACTACGAATACCTCCCGATCTCCGGCAACGCGGCCTTCATCGACGCCGCGATGGAGCTCCTTTACGCCGGGGCCGTCCCGCGGGAGAACCTCGCGGCGGTGCAGACCATCGGCGGGACCGGCTCCGTCTTCCTCGGGGCCGAGCTGCTGGCGAAGCTCCTGGGAAAGTCCACCACGGCGGTCTACCTGCCCACGCCGACCTGGCCGAACCACCCCGCCATCTTCGACTACGTCGGGTGGCCCACGCAGAGCTATCGCTATCTCGAGCCCCGCACCATCGGGCTGGACTTCGAGGGCATGAAAACGGACATCGCGGAGGCCCCGGCGGGGTCGGTGGTGATTTTGCAGACCTGCGCGCACAACCCGACCGGGGTGGACCCCTCCCGCGAGCAGTGGGAGACGCTCGCGGAGATTTTCCTCGCGAAAGGCCATTTGGCGTTTTTCGATACCGCCTACCACGGCTTCGCCAGCGGGGATATCGACAAGGACACCTACCCGCTCCGCATGTTCTCCCAACGCGGCGTCCCCAACGTCTGCGCGCAGTCTTTTTCGAAAAATATGGGGCTTTACGGGGAACGGGTCGGGACTTTTTCGATCTACGTCAATGATAAGGACAAGGCGCAAAAACTTAAGCGAATGATGGAGACCGACATCCGGCGGTTATACACCACGCCGCCGATCCACGGGTCCCGACTCGTGCACCTCATCCTCACAGACAAAACCCTCCGAAAGGAATGGGAGGAGGAAATCAAGGAGGTTTCCTCGCGAATCACCTCCATGCGGAAGTGCCTCTACGATAATCTGATGGAGCTTGACACCCCTGGCACGTGGGGGCATATTCTCACCCAAATTGGCATGTTCTCCTTCCTGGGTCTCACGAAAAAGCAGTGCGATTACTGTATTTCACAAAATGTATTTATTACGCAAAACGGGCGAGCAAATATGGCAGGCCTAACTGAATCAACAGCAAAGTTTCTGGCTAAGGCAATCAGTGATGCCGTAAAGCTTGATAACTAATCAGATTGATATAATTTTTTTTACTGTCTAATAGATAAATACTATTTTGTGGGGAGAGGAGTTCGAAATTTCAATCGAACTCTTTTTTTTTAACCGATAGGTTCCATTTAATATTAGGAGTATCTCTTTTTTTATACAATACTTCAAAAGAGAACTTCTTGATGGAAAATTTCCTTTTATTATACTCGACACTGTGTATATAATAAATACCTTAATTCTACATTTCTGTCGAGTTTCGGCAACCCCATTAGTACAAAAATGGACCAACAACGGTAACTGAAAGAAGCCCTTCCCCCCCCCCTCCCCCCCCCCCCCCCTCCCCCCTCCTCCTCCTTCGAAAGCAAACTACGAACGTATTTATCCCCTTATCATTGAACACACCTTTTCACCCTATATGAGTCTGTAAAGTGATATCATGGAAAGGTGTATTCTGGGCATCTCATGCACACGCCGCTTCTCGATCCAACGGCCGTGGTCTATGCGGCCCTGAACGCATCCATCGTAGCCCCTCTTTAGGTATTTCGCATCAAACCCAGATCAAAAGTCAATGAAGGTAGACGCTGCTGTCGAATTTTGCACACATTTTGGTGAATGTTTCATCAAATTCGAACATCCTTGTAGGGTCTTTATAATGAAATGAGTATTAAGTGCGTCAAGGCACTCGTGTAAAATCGAACGCCATCGCGAAGGTGGCAAGTTTGACGAGTTTCCTCACACCAACCCCCATGTGGAAGTCCACCACAAGCCGCGAAAAGGCCTCTTTATCTTTCTTTCCCATGGAGGACTTTACACGTAAAAAAAAAGGCACCTCTAAAAGGGAGTTCAACGCCCCCTATATATGAAATGGATAAGTCCACGGCGTCGCGATATTGTTTAGGGGGAAAAGGGGTGAGGAGGTTGTCCACCTCATGAGGTTAACCCGAATTGCCCCAACCCCGGCCTTCCCTTAAGTGAATTTCTGCAAACGCCCACTCCCCTTCCCCTCCAGCGAGCTCGACGTCCTTTACATCTGCCCCGCCTTTGTTGGTTGGGGTGAAACCCACATCAGGGCCCATCTTTGCGCGGCTTTGATACTTTTTCTCGGCCTCGAGGGACTGTGGGTTCGGGCTGTTGACGAGAGAGTGCCTTCATGTCATACAGATCGCGAAACTAAAGCGTCGTCACGTTGGGTTGTTTTCTCATACTTTTGTCGGGATGGGGCTTGGGGTGGTAACTGGATTTATTACCACTAGTATCCTCCAAGGCATGAGCTAATAAGGGGTTTATCAAAATGGTATACTATGCTAAGAGGGAGACGTTTGGGGGTAACAAAAACTATGACTTTACTTCACTCTTTCATGTTTAAACGATCTAAATAAATATTCGTATATATTTTATGTAGTTACTCAAACCTATATGATGATGTGCGCTGGAAATGCAACGTTTCTTTTTTTTCCTTACTATATTCCTCCTCACTATTCAATTTTATTGGTAATGATATATTTCACTTCTCGAAGTATGGATGAAAAATATAAAATATCACCAAGCAACAATATATATTTGAACACTAGAATGAAATAACTGAATCGAGATGGTAAAAGCTCAAAGTAAAAACGGAATTACTTATATAACAATATCAAATATCCGTGATCGATATGCAAATGTTTTGAATATAGGCATTGTTACTTCATAAAAAATAGGTTGATTGACAACAATACCGGAAAATAGGAAAAAAACTGTGAATAAATAATGATTGAATATAAAAGTATATTTATATGAATGCAATATAGAGAGAACCAAAGTATAATTAAAGGTAGTGGCCGATAATTTATTGTGTATTCACTGACAAACGCTTAAGTGTTATTTTCATGAATGCATACCCCTTACAGATTTTCATAGAATTGAACCAATAAAAATATTCTCTTTTCTGGACTACACCTCTCTAATTTTGTCCATTTTTTATCCCTATCCTGTCTTTCTATACTTATTCATACAATTCGGCCTGTACTAAAAATAATAAACGAGTACAATGAATAAGCCCATCTCAAAATGCGCATATTTTATTAACTGCATGCTCACACTCTTTTTTGTTGTTTTCGGATCTACTGTTTACTTCGATATTGGGGGTTCCCCCTACATTTATGGCTGCCTCCCCTCCATAATAACTTCATTAACGTCACCTGTGTTGAATAGAACCGATGCTAATGAAGGGATCGATGCAAAAAAATAATCATCCCTACAATAAATACTCAGGAACATCAATTCAGCCCTTCCCAGAGTACAGGCAGCCTCATCCTTTCCTCTTCAGGGCTTTCACGCCGGGATGCATCCAATCGGGATATATGACATAGATCTTTGTATAAGTTTATATCATTGTGCTGGTGCATTCTATGAGTCACAGGTACAATACCTACAGCATGCAATGATTCCACTACTTTTTTCTCAACTATTACTTTCACAATGCGTTGTTGATATTTTCCATCCCTTGACTCCTTGTGGAGGTGATGTGGTCTAGCGAATCTGTCTGATTTTTTGCCGGGCTCGCCCCGACGTCGTGGAAGTGGATCCAATTCTTTTTACAAAATTCCTCGAAACCTCCTTTTCCAAACACCCTTTAAGGAGTGAGGTGTGGCATAGCATAAGGCTTCCGCTGAATGAAATCCTGACACGCGCCTACGCGACGACCCCCAACCCCTCCCATTAGACTGTGCTGCAGCGGCTGGTGATCT